ATCTTGTCACGCGTACAGGAGACTTTGACAAGTACCAAAGAGAAATGGGAGAACAGAAGCTCGGCGTGGAGCGGAGCTGGACTCACCCGCACTACGACTCCAATACCTACAACAGCGACATCGCCCTGCTGTACCTGAGCAGCGAGGTGACGCTCGACGAGTTCGCCCTGCCCCTGTGCCTGCCGAGCCGCGGGCGCGCGGCGCTGCTCACTGAGGAGGGCAGGGTGGGCACCGTGAGCGGCTGGGGGGCCACACACGAGCGCGGCGCCACCATGCGCTTCCTCATGAGGGTGCGGGTGCCCGTGGTGAGCATGGAGCGCTGCCAGCGCGCCATGGACAGGCTGGTCACCGACAACATGTTCTGCGCCGGCTACGAGACGCAGGCCGAGGACGCCTGCAAGGGCGACAGCGGCGGCCCCTTTGCTGTGCCTTACCACAACACCTGGTTTCTCCTGGGCGTCGTCAGCTGGGGTGAGGGCTGCGCTCAGCAAGGGAAATACGGGGTGTACACGCGCGTAGCCAACTACATCCCCTGGATCAAAGAGGTTGTCGAAAGCGTATCAGATTCTGGAAAGATTTTACATCAACTATATTCCTAAGACCATTTCTAAAAACAGGGAAAATGCTGTTGTAACTGCTTTCAGTCTGAGACACTCTGCGGGGCCTGGGAACCACACTTACCCTCAGAGAAGTTCTTGAGCCTGTAGTTCCTGTGCTTCCCTTAACTAACTGCTGGATTTCCACTGAAGTATTAGTGAGGAAAATACTTGTGTACAATAAAAAACTATTTTAATTGTAATTGCTTTTCGATGTACAGATCCAACTGGAAAGATACTCGCAGAGATTATTTTTTTCCTCTCTGTTCTCAAGCCCTTGCTCACATCACAAAAATATTCTAGCAGCCCTACACGTCAATTAACCAGTCACATTTTGGGTAGTCTTGTCCCTCCTCTAGCTGCGAAGCAAAATTCAGTTTACTAAATGGAAATGTTTTCAGATACTGAAAGTCTGAGTAACATCTTGAATTACAGACTGCACTGGCTAAAAGTGCTAGGAGGGGGGAATGGGAACTTCCAGCTGCAGCTAAAGAAACAGAAAAAGAGGGTTTCTCCATTCGCCGTTGAAGGGTTTTGCCTCTTTTATCGGGAAGGAGCACTGCTCCCCTCTTACCTACAGGAAGCGTTTTAGCTCGACACCTCTGCAGCTTTTAGCAGGAGGCTGCTTGATCTCCTCTGGAGCTCCACAGCATGGACTGGCAAAAGGAGTCCTCAGCGTGGGAGAGGAGCAGCATTTCTGACACCAAATCCAACATAGGCAGCTCTCCAAATGTTGAGCAACTCGTTAAAATTCAAGGCACCAAATAAAGAGGAAATGGAAAAGAGCAAACAAAATTCACATTACTAGATTTTCTACACACCCGTATTTCAGATATTCATGCTCTTCTCCTCAGCAATCCACACACAAACCACCCTGAGCAACCAGAAAGCCCCCCTCGCAGAAAAAAAAAAGAACAGAAGGATGTTTTTTATTGTCTAAAGTGTTGCAGTACAACAAATACTCGATCTGTACAAAGGACACAATAGAGCAAATTTAAATACAATCAGGAGAAAGTAGTCCCCATATTCACAGTCCTTAGACAACATTTTATACCAGAACCTGAAGCAACAGTTTAAAGATTCACTAAAAAAAAAATATAACCCAAACATGTTGTTAAAAAATATAAAGGTCTCCCAAGAGTCTATGGGTGTCTGTCTTACAGCAGAGGTTGGGGTATTCTGTGAAGGGTCACAATGGCATCTTATTGCCCTCAATGCTGATTTTCACCGCATGGGCCGATCTGCTTTTTTTCCTGATATCTGTGAATTTCCGCATCTGTTTGTCCAGTCGACTCACCCCTTTCTTAGAGGTTCCCTGGAACTTAAAAATAAAACTAATAATTACCACTGAAAAAAAGCAGACGTCCCAGAGGTTCAAAAGAAGCGACAGTGTGAGGTTAAACCTGGAGGACGGAGCTCCTGGAGTCCCTGCCGGTTTCCAGCTTCCTTGTGTGCCCTCCTGGGAGGACAGAGAGCCCCCCGGTACAGGCAGCGCGCACGGCAGCGGTCGCGCTCTCGAGCGGCGCACAGGAAAGCTTTTAGAGAGCAGGGGTTAACACGTCGTGTTAGTTGCTCACGTGCTGGCTGAAGATACAGTTTGGAATAGTTCTGGTGTCTGCATTGACTGGAGTTCAGTGTCAGACATACAGGATGGACAAGGTTTGGATATGGCAACACCGTAATTGAGGCGGATCGAGCTGACCTATCAATTCCAAACTGTATAAATAGGCCACTGATTAGTATTTATAAAGATCATTGGGGAAAAAAAAGGACAGGATGAGGGAAGCAAAAGAAATTTCTAAGAAACCTGGCCTTACAAATTATTACAAGAGATACTGCATTTCATTTCTGTATTTTGTTTAACTGCAGTTGAAAAGCAAAGATGTTGCACAGCTTTTATAGTGATTCAGTACAGAAACACCCCTGAAGACCAACAGTAAAGGACTTTTGATCCATAAACCACTACTTCCTAGCAAGCAATTTCCCCAGCTAGGCAACAGAAGAAAAAGTGAATGCTGGAAACTTTACACCTTTTAAGTTGGGAAAAACAGAGATACCCAAAATATGCTACTTGATATCTGACAAAATCATCCTTTAGAATCTGAACCTCTTGTTCCCATCACTGGGAAAGGAGCCCACTACACAGTAATTTAAAAGTGAGCTTTATGCATTAAACAGAAAAACTATTTACTGGAATTCTGGCTGGAATTTCACAGTGATTAACAAAATGATTTGTAGGTAAATGTGAAGCTTAAAAACAATCTACCACTTGTGACACCCCTGCTCACAGAACTGAAATGCAGACTAGAAGTGGTCAAAACAATTCTCACATTGATTATTTATCGCCGACCCATCTCCCTCAGCCCTGCCTTCCCCGCAGGGCTTTCTTCTCCCGCAGGTCTTGCGAGGTCTTATCTCTGCCTGCCATCAGCCACCCCCTGGTGTCTCATACCACTTAACTTCCTTGGTAAAGTAGGCCTGAACAGTATTTTTATCTTGTTTGTACCAGTAAAACATCAGCCACAGGAGTTAGTATACAGTGACACCAGGTACTATGGTGAAGGCTAAGAATTTTGCCCATTGGATCAATCTGCAAAGTGTAATTGAGTCAGAAGTTTCACACTGCTGGACCTGCTCACTGGCCAAGCATTCAAACCATGGCCGCCAAGCTGGTTTTGAGTGCAGGTATTTCCATTTAATACCTGTCATTCGGGTGCCCTGCAGCTGTAGAGCAGGCACCACGGAAGATGCTGTGTGCCACAGCGTGTGTTCTCCTGTACGTGTCCCCTCTGAGGTCAGTACAGGCACTGGGGGATACAAGGAGAGCTTTCCAAGCTCAAGGTGGGGCATACACACTCCTTTCCTATATGTGCAAACTGCCAACAGCTGAAGCACATGCACTGTCCACACCTCCCTCGAGGGATACCTCTCAAACTTGGGGAAGGCAGTGTCATGGCTACAGGGGCATCCTGTTGCCTTCAATGCTGAACTTGATGGCTCGATGCACTTTGCTGAGTCGTTTCTGTTCAGCAAACCGTCTCTTGTGCTTTTCCAAGCGACTAATACCTCTCTTAATAGTCCCGGGCTAGAAACAATATCTCAATTAATGCAAAGAAGGAAAGATAACAGCAGAAAGAACACAGTTTCATTACTACTACTTCCATTTACATATGTTTTACCACGTACTCTGCCTTTAAATTAAATATACAAGGTAGGTGGATAAAGCAAAGCAAGGCATAGGCCTCTACTGAAGTTGTTAACTCTTACCAATACTTTGATGTTTTCCCAAATCAAATATTACGAGAATACCATGACATAAAAGACCGAAGTATAGAAATATCAGTGACGGACTGATCAAATTACTACTTTATTTCAAAATGCTCTAAAATAAGAGGCCTTCAGTCAGGCTCTCAGCCTGGATATAGAAGAGTTAAAATCTCTTTCTGATAAGAGAAGCAACGATACCTCAGTGAAGGAATCTGAGGGGCTTAACCTGACAGCAAAATTTGCTGTCTATTTGTATCGGAACAGGCACACGAGAAGCAGCGCTGTATTGTACAGTAACAGCAGCATTAAGGTGACAAAGATCCCCAGGCTTAACCATGGCTACGTGAAGCAGAGTCAGCGAGAGAGGCCCAGCTCCCCTCAGCACAGTGCTTACCCTGGAGGACTCCATTTCCACGTTCCACTTTGGTCTGACTACGTAGTCCTTGTTGGAGGGCATCGGCACCCTCGCCCGGGCACAGAATCCAGGGTCCCCAGGCCGGAGCGCCCTGCAAGCAGCAGGATGTTACTGCCCTGAAATCTTCAGCAGAAACCAGCAGAGCTTGGTGCTCTGCTGAAGCAACGTACACGGCCGCCGCTTTTAAAACCACAAAGCGGCTGCATACTGTTAGCACTACTAAAATCCTTTTCCCCTCATCACAAAAAGCAAAACTCAACCTACTTTTCCTCTCCTGTTAACACCTTCTCTAGGTCCCTGCGAGGAGTCTGACCGCCAGAGCTGCAAGAAATAAAACTGTATAGGTATTCATACACAGGGAACAATGGTAACTTCAGAAGACAATCAAGTGTGATAGGGGAAATAAAGGAATATGGATTTCTGACTTGCCTTTTTTTCCTCTTAAAATGTACACATACTGGTGGAATCTAAGAAACTCATTTTTGCCTGCTATTCCTACCTGCTCAGTCTCCTCCGCTGAGGCATCTGTTCCAAATCTCTCTGCTCCCTCTCCTCTCTCGTCATGCCTTTGTAATTTGAGGTAAGGCCAAAAATGGGCCTGGACCATTCATCTGTTTAAAATAACAAAACAAAACCAAAACAAAAGAAAAAAAAAAAACAGTCACGCTGGTATTTAAGCACATCACTAGGCATTATAAAGGTTCACCTCCAAAGCACTCGAATATGCTCCACTTCCAAAGTTCACAGCAAGCACTTGTGCTTCTACAAAATCCCCAAGCAATTTTTTTTTTTGGAATTTTGGAAGTTTTTGGAATTTTTGAAGATTTTACAGGAGAACCCAGGAGAACTGTCTCGTGGGCAGTGAGAGAGCCTTTATATCTAAAACCTCTTGCTTAATCCCTCTCAGCACTTAGAATACTTAATGTAAGGAATACCTGCATGTGACAGTAAGTGCTACTTTTGTAACAGGTGGATTAGTTTCTCAAGAACAAAACAAGTTTAGAATCCATCCGCAGTCACTCACGATGGAATGCACTGCAATTAACTAGAGCTGTTTAAGAAATAAGCATTTAAACATCTAAGTGTCACTAAATAGCATGAAAATTGTGGGATAAGCAGTCTTCCAGTAGCTGCTTCCCTTTGTTACATACGGATGAGACCTACCCGACTAGTTCAGAGAGAATCTGGGCAAAATCACAGAATCCCAGAATGGTTGAGGTTGGAAG